AATACAGTCAAACACTTATAAGTAATCCATTGATTAAACTTTTAGTTTTCCAAGGATCATGCAGTGTTCGAATCTGTATTCGTACAAAACTGATTTTGCGTTTTCCAATAGTTTTAGTTTAGAATACTACAATGGAATCTTTTTCGCTCGCATCTTGCAACAATAGAGCTTATATCACCCATGTAGTGCCTTTTGTCGCCTTCAATTCTAAATCGACAACAATCGGTGCTTGCACAGGCTGATAGCTCAGATTACAGATTGATGCATTGACAAATATGGTCGGACCATGCTCTAACTGTCCGTATGCTTCGTGAATATGACCGAAGATATGCAAGCGGGGCTTGGCACTAATAATATGCGCAAGCAACTGAGGACAGCCAGTATGTTCACCCGCAGAATTTGTATCGAGAATGTGAGCAGGCGGACCGTGAGTGACAAGAACGTCGACATCGGCCGGAATCCGAGACCAGACTTGCTTGATTTCAGCACTATTCATTGGCAAGTTGAAGGCCCAATTGTTAAATTCAGGTTGATAAGGACTGAGCAAGGAAGAAAAGTTCAATAGGGTGAAACTGAAGACAAGAAAAGTTTACCTGCCGTAAAATTTCAGACCGGTGACGTTGTCAACGAATTGTTGGTTTTCCAAATAGATGATACCATGATCAATTGCTAACGATGGATCACGTATCAGACGTCCGATATGTTCACAATCTTGTTTTCGACCACGATGCCATCGTTCCCAATTTTTCTCGTAGAAAGCCGGTTCCAGAGTCAGATCATGGTTACCGGCAATGATCACTTTCAACCGATATTGGGTAAGTGATTTGAGACAAGTGATGTACTGTTCGATTTCGCTCTGTTCACCTGTCATAGAAAAATCGCCCGCATGAACTATAATATCGCCAGCGGGTATTGGAAAGTTATAACGAGAGTGCGTATCACTAATGCAGACAATGCGCACCGTTTTGGTTACGTTGCTGGCCATGTTTTAGAATAAGTTGCTCGTAGTTCGTATCTTTATTTGCGTCAACATTAGTTCATTCTCATGCCAAAAACAATTTATTTTTAACATCAAAAATAAAGTAAAGCGGGCTCTTTAGGTTTCTTTTACAAAGTAAAAGTAAATTTAATATTTTCTTTTCCTTTCTTAAAAGTAAATAAAATTCTTCTTTTACTTTTTACGTTAATACAGTAAAGTAGCCAATTTTTCTTTATCCGGAGCAAAATGACTGCCATTCGAGGACCACAACAGATAGAGAGGTCGATCTTGCGCAGAATTGTAGAGACCACTTTAGACTATCTAGCCACTATGTTACAATTAAAACTTATTGATTGTGACAATAATTGCTGAGGATTTCGAAAGCCCTTGTTGCAAAAATACGCACCCCAAAATTTTGCCACGGATTCTGACTACGCAAAGCATATCTCATAGAAACTGTTGCAACAAAAGTTGTTCCCTATGAAATTTTGCGTGGAATAAGCGGCACAGGTTTTTTTCTAATGACAAAAACTTCAAAAAATTATTAATTAAAAAATTTCAAAATTGAAAATTGTTTAATTTTCATTTAACTTCTGTTCAATGTTTTGCGTATTTAACTTCTATTCTATACAGGGATTTGATGCTGTTTGTCTCTGGCATTAAAACTGATACATTTCTAGACCTTAAAAAACGTTTTCTGATTCTCCTTGGCAAAATTGTCGCACTAAGAAGCTCTCTCTTACTAGATCATCTATACTTCGAGTATTTTCGTTATTTCAACTCTTTTGCTCACAAAAACATTCATATACCATCGATAGAGCGTTTGACGCGCTACAAAATCATATATCGACTATTGAGAAGAAAATGTAACTGGATAGTCTAGTATAAAAAAGGCAAGAAAAATTAGTTAGGGTGTAAAAGTTTTCCAATAGGATTGTATTGTTTTTTTTTCATGGCCTGTTACCTCTGGGTGTCCTTTTCACAACGCAGGTTATGCAAGTCCTTGATTTTCCGCCGTTGTATCGGATCCTAAGACTATCACCCAGTGCCTATTCGTATCATTGAAAGCTGGTGGATTATAGGTAATCGATTATACCACGCCTCGAGGCAATATTTATTTTTAGAAAAGGTTCCAAAAGTCTAGCGAAAGCGAATTTTACGAAAGTTAGGATTTTCGTATAATGTTAAAAAAACATATCGGACGTCTGATACGTGATCCATCGTTAGCAATTGATCATGGTATCATCTATTTGGAAAACCAACAATTCGTTGACAACGTCACCGGTCTGAAATTTTACGGTAGGCAATTGCTGTGAATAAGTAGAAACAGAAAATGATGAAATCTAAAATACCGAGTATAAGTTTATATCATTCTGTTGAATTTTGTGAGAAAAATATGTTGTTTTGGCAGTATTATAATATTGGTAAAGGTGTTATCGTTCCATATTCAAATTTGCTGGTTGAATCTGGAGTTGAAATAATTAAACCTTTTTCAATTGCAAAATCACTATCGAACACACCTACGCCTACAACTTCTGCAAGGACAACCAAAAAACAACTTCTTTCACGTACCTATTCAACTGTACTTTGTTGTCCTATTCCGTAGTGTACAGGTTCATTTTTGAATAATGAAGATTTCGCACAGCATATGGCACTCGATATACATAATTCAGCTAAATGTGACTCTTCCATGAATAAGGTACGAAAATCTTATGCTGAAAGAATGAGTACAATTATAACAACAGAAAACTTTGTTTGACAAGCAGTATTAAAATCTAATTTACCAGACTCTAATTTCGGAAAACAAATTGATTTCGAAGGATGGGCTTTAGCAGTTAGAAAAAATATGAAGCTTTCTTATAAACAAAAACAATTTTTGTATGATTTATTATTGTCAGGGGAAAACACAGGAGTCAAAGTTTCACCTACGAAAGCTGTTGAATTAATACGATCCTCTACATTGAATACCAAAAAATTATTTTCCATGAATGAATATTTGACTGTACAGCAAATTCGATCTGTATTTGCTCGAATAGCTGCACAATTACGAAAAGGTACACTTTAGACTCCGAGTCCATTATTAATAGAAGAATGTGATGAGGAATGTAGTGACAGTCATAGTGTAGTCGAACATCTGATACGCGAAGAAACAAAATCGATTGTTGCTGATATTGAAACATCTCAAAGTGAAACACGAATTTTCCGGTGGATATTATATAGTTTTGGAGAATGATGATGGCTGGATATCAGCAGAAATTCGTCAGGCGACAGATGATAGTTTGTATGTTAGTTGTCTGGAACTTTCATCGAAAAATATTTTTAAAAAAAATTAGAAAAGTGGATTCGAATCGATAAAATTTTATGTGGTTTAGACGAACCAGGAAGTTGTGGAAGAAATGGATTTTGATTTTCCTCAGATAATTGTCAGAAAGTTGAAGAAGAATTTCAGAAACTATAAGAAAAATAAAATTTTGGTTACCTTAAATATGGCGATTTGGTACATTTGGAGAACATAGACAGAGACTTGTTGATAATTATTTATAAATAATAATGTCATTTTAATATTTAAAATATTATATTCTGTGTTTTCGTACTGACAAAAAAAATTTCAAAACACATACCATGAACAACGTTTGTCTTCTTGGTTGTGCCAAAAAAACTTAAAAATTTTAAAAAGACAAAATACCAAAACATACACTTAATTATTCATATTGTGCGTATTTTTTTGTAGGCAGCAATTTAATGCTTGCTCATATGTTTTCTCATTCAAATAAGTCCCTATTGTAGAACAGCGAGCTAGCTTTCAAATGAAAGAGCAAATCTAACTCTATATATTTACAAGCATTTATACTCATTTCTATGCACAAAAAACTTTTTTAACCCAACTCAGTTTGGCTTTCGTCCAAGTACTTCAACCGTAGATGCTCTTCTTCTTCTCACTCAAATGGTTTACCAACATC